AAGAAGAGTGATTCAGGATTTAGGCGCCTCTGCACAAGCAAAATACCTATTCACTAAAATTTTTCACCTTTTCTCTAAGGTGGTCAATAGTGACAATTCTCCCTCTGATCACTTCCCAAGCATAGAAAGCGACTTAAAGATGTTGAATTGAGCTTCCCAATCTGCTACCATAGGAAACTACTATTGTCGAGAGCAAGATCGGCCAGGTGTAAGTAGAAAGATTTTATCAAAAAAGAACCACTAGAACCTCGCTTGTCAATGCCTGAGAAGAACCAGAACTAAGGGAATAATGTCAAAGAAGACTAATGTATTCATCCATTTCCCTATCATTATGGTTTCTCGCAAGATCCACAACCCATACCCCAAAACCAGATGAAGAAGGGGATCTCAATCATGATGGCCTCCTTAACTCTGGCCAAGAAGAACAAAGTAGGAAAAACACTGGTATAAAGCCCCTCTACCACTCATCTTCTCCATGTGAAACCTCACCTCCAAAACAAAATTGACTTTCCATCTAAAACACCAATAGAACTCGTCTCAACCAGAGTTAACCTTTTTCCAAGGACTCGAACCATGTGGGGTTCTAGACGACCAAGGCCTTATTCCTTGCATCCATCCCAAACTCGGCCTTGATCACTCTTCACCACAAGCTTCTTTGATAATTCATAAGTCTCCAATGCAACAAATGTTCTACCGCCAACCTTGCTCAGCTAAAAGAAGTATAACTATGTCAAATGCTACCAAGCGAGAGCTATTTTACTTTTTGAAATGAACATAATAAAATATGATTCATTCACAAGTACCAAGGTGGTGTACATTATGTAAAAGATATTTACTTATCAATCAAAATATCGGTAAGGTCCTCAAGACCCTCAAAGGAGTAAAGAGGATGACTCATCATAAAAAAACCTAGAGTTTGGAACAACCTGTCTTTAATTCTATCAAAATCAGCTTTTCTGCCATAAAAAACTCTCTTGTTTCTCTCTTTCCACGTCACCCAAAAAGTAGCACGAGGGATGAAGCTAACATAATTATTCACATTGTTGATTCTTTTCCATGCACAAATCTCCACCCTCACAAACGAGCCATTACTCAATTAATGCACGATAAGCTATAAGCAAGAGTCCACAGTATATACACAAATGGACACCACAGAAGGATATGGTTACATGACTCGGCTTCTCTTTTATATAGAAAACAACTAAATTACCATAATTCTGCTCCTCTAATCAGTTTGTCCAAAGTTAAAATGCAGTCTCTACTTGCTCCTAAATAAAGAAGGCAGCTCTAGGTGAAGTATTAACCTTCCAGATTTGCCTGAAAGGAAAGTCTTTATCTGTAACCTCTCTTTTAGTCAAGTGATTATAAAGTACTGTTCTCTCTACCATTGAGCCTCCACAGGGGTTGGTCTCTGGTCCCATCAATTCTAACCCTAGCAAGGGCGAAGAGTAAGTCTCATACTCCCTAACTTTCTAATTGTTAAGATTTCTCATGACCTCCATAGACCACTCTCCATCCCCCATAGCACACATTATGATTTTTGAATCAAAGCATTCTCGTACTGAGCAATAACATAGATCTGAGGAAACTTATCCTTGAGTATGTAGCCCTCCAACCAAGTGTCATGCGATAAACTGACTCTGTACTCAGTGCCAACCCTCCAGCAAATACAATCCTGGAACTTTGTCCTAACCATGCAGATTTTTTTCCACATCTGTTACCATGCGGTCTAGGCAAAACCTTAGTGTACCAACATCTATCCATGGTACTGAATTTTATCCAAAAATACCATTCTCATTTAT